TCCAATCATTCTTAAAAATAACCTATCCTTAATCCAGGAAGATAGCAAACGACTCAAGAAGGTAACTACAGCTTATGAAAGGCAATATCTTCTTGATATTTTTTTCCCTTAAGCGATAAATCGAAAGATGGAACATTTCACACTCTCGGTTATCACCAGTCTGTCGGACACGTTAATTTTCACGCTACGTTTCTAACGACGTTCGACCCTTCGGCCATTGTTCCCAATGGATTTATTAAGATGACGATAAACGCTTCAGCCAAAACATAAAACAACTGTTGTCGTCGATGCCAAAGGCATTGTTTAAACAGTACATCTGTAATGAGCTCTTATCGATTGATGAACACCAATAGAAAGAGAGAGGGGAGAAAGAGAGCGAAAGTATTCTTCTTCTTCTTGATCTAAGTTAGAACTCTCGCGAGTCGTTCTTAATGGACTTCTGTATTCCACTCGTTTTACTTTTATAAATCCCAAAGTAAGGTTATAGAATTTACATCGTCAATTATGAAGCAACGACGTATTTCCTCGGGCTAAACTAGTTATGAACCGAGATTGGTTATTATCTCTTAAAATGTAAAACACAAAATTATATGTTGTAATTTTTAATGACGTATTGCCAAAAGTGGTTTTATTTTCTATCCGCTTATTACTCGCAATATTTATATACATAGATATATATATACACGGTCATTAATAATAAAACTTTTATTTTCAATTAACTTTATGCAATTCGTATCCAAACACGAACGACTCAATAAAAATTTCATCTGTTAAAAATTCACATTTTCTCGAATTGTCTAGGATTTTTCTATGATAATCAAAAGCGATTATTATCTACTCGAATTTTTCCACATTCCTTTATTACTTCTCGACTAGTTTTAATTATTTATTCTATTTTTATGATGTATTTAAGCTAACAATCTAGTTTAAACACATCATAAAATAATGACACTTTAAAGAATTTATGCATTGGAATCACGTAAACTTTCAATATTTACAATGTACTTTTGTAGTACTCCAAGATAAATTCTCCATAATATTTTTCGTTTTATTTCACTTTTAATTATCGTTTCGTAAAATAAAATTATGTATATATATTTTAATTTATTTTAACGTTGAAAAATTCTTCTTTCAGCAATCTTGAAAGATTTGAAGAATGTAATTTATTTGATTTATTCAAATTATATTAGCTTCTTGTCTTTATTTATTCAGTTCTCGTATTCTGATTACGTGCCACACATTTATCGATTTTTACTTTTTTTAGTTTTACTTTTACTTATTTTACAAAACATACAACATTCCATCTCATTTTATATTTAATATGATAAGATAAATAAAATTCAATAAAATACAAACGATACAATAACCACAGTTATGGAAGCCAGTGTATATCTTTAACAGATGTCTTACAGAAAATCCTTTCATCCACAAACAACATTTCTTGGATAGAACTTTCTTTCTTTAATGTTATCAGAGAAGATTCTACAAACATCTTTTTCCTCTTCTCAGGAAAAGTTTCGGTTGTTTAATAATTTCTATCTCAATTACTTAAACTTTTTTTAAAAGTTCTCTAAGTGTTTTTTAAGTTTTATATTTATAAATAAATGGGAATAAACACGAATAAAAAATTATAAGGAAAAAAACATTCTGTTTAATCACTGGTAATTTTTTTAAACTTGTTTTTACATATTTTTCTTTTTTCATTAGAAAAAAAAACACTTTTCTACTACACGTTTATGTTCATTTTTAAACTATTTCGTCGTTTTGTATGACATTTTTGATTATAAGTTTAAAAAAATATATATTGAAGTTGTCAAGCATAACATACTTCACAAATCGATAACATAAAAATGGAAATGGAATCTTTCTTTTTATGGTTTTTAGCCTGCGAACGAAGGTGAAGTAATACAACACTAAACTACGCTAACGTGAACTTTTATGTTAAAGATTGAAAAGTGTTTTAAATCTATGTAAGCAATATATAACCCCTCCCCCTTGTTTTACTGCTTTATAAATATCCTCCATTACAAAGTTACTACTTTACACAAAATGATATTCAAGATCCATTATTAAATTAACGATTTTCGTTATTGTACTTCTCTTTCACTCCTTCTGGCTATTTTCATTGCATTAAAGAGTAGTTCTTATCGATTGTTTAATGACTATTCATTGATTAAGCACATAACACTTTCACTTGTAGAAAATTGCATGATTCCTTACAGTTATTCTATTTTTATATAATGTATCTTTATATACTCACACTTAATTTTTATCAGGTAGACGTTTTATTAAGCTTTATTATATAAAAGATATGCAAAGAAACGTTTTTTTTTTTTTTAAATCTACATTTCTTCAAGTATCAATTCACCATAATTTTCAATTTCATTAACTGATAAAGTAACGTTCTTTCCAGTGTTTATCTGTGCAGCTTTGTAGCTTACCAAAGCCTTAAATAATATTTAAAAAATGGTATAAAAAAATATATATATTTAAATTTTAAAATAATTGCATATAAATTACTTAAAAATTTACTAAATACATATAATTTTATATGGGATTTACCGTGCATTTTAATAGGTTAATCGATGAACATTTAAGTATAAACTAAGTATAAAAATCATTTATGTAGAATATTTGATAATTTTATCACGTAAATTACCATATAAAATTTTTATTAGAGTGATAAATTGATTGTCAACTTTAAAAAATTGAGATTTTTTTAAATCATATTTTATATATTAAATATTTTTTTCTTGATTCTCTGCAAATATTTATTAATATTTCATAACTAAAACAATTAATGAGCTCTTA